CACGGCAGCAGGAGGGAGGGGAAGGCCAGGCCCCCCGCCCCCACCAGCAAAACCAGCTCCCGCCCGACTGTCCCGGGCCCTGGGGCCGCCACAGTGACTCTGTGTTTCATATCCCGTTCCCTCAAAAGCACATTCAGGCAGGACAGCAGCACGTAGGTCACGGGCCTGCGTGGGGCAGAGTGAAAACCCCGTTACGCTTCTCCCTTTGACAGAGCATAAACTCTCGGGCGAGTCCTTCTCTCTCAGCCTCAGTTTCATGACCTACGAAATGGGGCGATACTTCCTGCCCCGACCGCTTCAGCAGCAAAGACCGGTGTTCAAATTCCAACCCAAACTCACGCAGGTCACAGCTTCCCCATGCAGACACCCCAGCTCCCCCGAGAGGCCCCGTACCCGAGTGCCAGACGTGGAACAGCGTCTGCTGGTAGGTCACTTCCGAGGGCGGGATGCAGATCAGAAAGTCCACCTTCTCGAAGGACCCCAAGTCCAGGTTCTGGGTGCTGGAATCCGCGATGGAGCACAGGTGCGAGAGGAGCTTCTGCGCCACGGCCAGCTGGAAGGGCCGGATGCGCTGCGGCTCCAGCCCGGAACCTGGAACCGGAGCCCGGAAAGGTGAGGGGCCCGGGACCGCTGCCGGGGAGCAGTGCGCCCGTCCGGAGCGCAGGTCACAGGGCCGGGCAGCACCCACAGGAGCGTGCGCCTGCTCTGGGCTATTCGCTGCCAGGGGCGCCTCACACACCTGCCCCGGTTACTCGTCCGAGCACAGAGGCCGGGACCTACTCTACCCGGACGGGCAGGGACAGCACCTGGGGAAGCTGGAGCTAAGTCTGGACTTGGGAAAAGGTTTGCAGGAAGAAAGGATGTCGGCTCCTCAGGAACGTAGTCAGAATAAATATTTTTTAAATATATTTTTATCGATTTCAGAGAAGGAGGGAGAGGGAGAGAGAGAGAGAAACATCAACGATGAGAGAGAATCGTGGATCAGCTGCCTCCTGCACGCCCCACACTGGGGATCGCGCCCGCAACCCAGGCCTGTGCCCTGACTGGGAATCAAACCTGGGGCCCTTCAGTCCACAGGCCGAGGCTCTAACCACTAAGCCAAGTCGGCTAGGGCTAGAATAACTATTTTAACACATTTCGTACCGCTCAGGAGTTTTCTCGTGTTTTGCGCGCCATCTGTTAAGGACCGCTCACGAGTGTTCTCGTTTTTCACGCCCATGGAAAAAGGAGCGAATCTAGACACTTACGTAAATTTTGTTTGGCCCCTCTTCACAGAGGAAAATGTTTTACGCAGTACCATACGTTAAAAAAGTACTAGGAACTTTAATGGTTTAATTGTTTTTATAAATAAAAATGTTGTAATTATTGAAAAACAACACCTAAAGTGCATGATGATGATTTAAATAACGTGCAGTTTGCCCCAAAACGTGCAGTCCCTGGCATATGCCTTAGAGATTTCCATGCGGTACGCAATGTGTTAACAATCACATATAAGATGAGGCTCAACACAGAGAAATGCGCCGTCTCAGGACAAGCCAGGGGACGCACATTTCAGGGTGAGTGGCCTCCATCACTAGAGACTGAAATTAAAGGTAGGTATTAGGGCTTCTTGGGTGCTAAGGAGAAGGCCAGCCCTCTGGGTGTGCCTCTAACATCGCTTCCTTGTAGCCTGGGGGATGGGGGGGCAGAATGGGGGGCCCTGGCCACCAGCTCCCCTCCATACTCACTTGTGCACGCCGGGGCCCCACCGACTTCCAGAGACATGGGTTTGGTGACGGAGGCGGCAGTGGGTGAGGAAGAAACGTGGCCTTGATTTTCCTGATGAAATTTGTCCAGCAGAATGTCAATGTCGCCCTCTGCCCAAAACAGAAGGGACAAACATGGGTTTTCCATCTCGTGACACTTAACCAACACCCAGGGTCACTCAGCCAACAAACACCCAGGGATGCCGGTGGTGCCCAGGCGCCGCCCTGGGCCTAGGGGAGCGGAGAGAAGGAAGACAGGAGGGTCCCGCCACATCCAACCTAGAAGGGCAATTACACAGGAACACGTAGCTGCCGGGACAGAAGGCGACAACGGATGGACAGAGGGAAGGGGCCAAGCCCGTCCTGGAGGAGCGGCCCGTCAAGGATTCCAGGACTCTGGGTGGATCCTGAGGGGGAGCAGCTGGGCAAAGGACAGAGCAGGGCACGCACGGCACAGACCCCACAGCGTGTGGCACAGAGGACGCCCAGCTCCCGTGAGAGGCTGCAAGCTGGGGGGGGCGGGGGGCGGGTAGGAGCGGTGCAGAGACAGGCAGAGAGCTACAGGCTCAAGGCCCTCCTGTGCCCCAAAAAGACAGAAACCGCAATGCCCAGGAGGACCCACAGCTAGCGAGGCAGATGCCGGCCAGGACCACGCCAGGAGCCATGCCAGCCGAGGGGACCACGCCAGGAGCCATGCCAGCCACCATGCCATGCCAGCCACCATGCCAGCTGAGGGGACCATGCCAGGAGCCATGCCAGCCGAGGCCAGAAGTGTTGACGCACAAGCCAGAGGCCCTGCCCCCACGTCTGGATCAAGGGACACCCCGGCAGGTCAGGAGGGGCGGGCTCCCCGAAGACCCCCGTGTCTTCGTTGGATCTGTCTGATCCGCTCATGCCTGGCACCTGCCTCCCCACAAGCCCACCTGGACAGAGGGTGCTGAAGAAGGCCCCCAGCGAAGCCACCTTGCCCGTGACCAGCTCGTAGCTGACTTCCTCCTGGTACTCCGCAGGGGTGAGGAGGCTCTCGGACAGCACCCGGGCCTGGTATTTCCCTGGAAAACAGCAGCTCTCGTGGCCCCGCTGCTTCGCATCAGCACGGG